GTAGGCAATAAAAACTTTTTATTTTTATTATCCAGTAGAACTTTTTATTGAAAAATTATACTGGATTTACTTTGTATTAGATTTTTTTCCTGCTTCACAAAGGTAGGCAGCAGCTTGACAAAGCCATGATGGCAATTATTTTACATTGTTATGGTATCGGGGCCAAAAAATGGCATCGGCGAAACACTAATTTCTCCCTTTTATGTTGACTTTTCACCACAACTTGCTGCTTATATATGTGAATTTCAGCACTTCAAAACAGTAAGGATTATTCTGTTCTAACCTCTTCAAACAGCAAAACTCCATTTCTAAGACACATAAACAGAGTTTAATAGATAAAAACTTTTGTTTGCTCATCATCTGAGCCAGTGTCTTTTCCTTTATGTTATTTTCTAATGTTTAGGAGTGTCAGTGTGTCACACCGCAGTTAAGAAGCCTGCAGCTCGTTTAGCATTTTGGCTCACATGATCCACCCCACATTAGAAAGCATGTTAAACTGAGCCAGCTTCCCACTGAGCTAGCAGCCAAGCTAACCGTAATTGGCAGAGTCATAAGCATTGGCATTAGCATCCCCCTCCTTCATCCCTAAACTATTTAGTTTTCAGGGTAATAAACTATGTCGGTGGTGGTATAAAGGGAGCAACAAACAACCCTTGCCCGACTGACAAATTTAGATTGTCATATGACTAGTTTACGGTAGCGTTTATGGGACTTTGTTGTTGGGCTCTCAAGCTAACGGTAGCAACATTAGCAGGCTAACGTTAGCCCCGAATGCAGCGGAGATGTCGCGTTGTTTCAGGATTTAAGCAGAGCTGCCAGTTTGCAGTATAAGCGCCTCTTTTCCCAAAACACGCTGCTTTAAACTTCACGCTAAAGCTGTTTGCTTCACAGCAACACGTCCTGTCGTTAGCAATGCTAGTTAGCAGCTAGCCACTCACCGTTTGTTCGGGGTCTATCTCAATCTGAATAGTCTGCTGCTGCAGCGTTTTCAGCGTGATCTGCATGGTAGCGATGTCCGGCGTCCTTCCAATGAAGAAATGGTTGCTTCGCTTAGCAGTTGGTTGTTTTTCAAGTTGTCGTTTTGGTTCGGATAACAGCTAACCGACAAATGTGTGTATCCATGAGCACTCAGCAAATCGCCATCTTTGGTGACAAGTTGGTGGAGCGGCGAGAGAGGAGGGCTGGATCGTGAGCGCGCAGAAGCACGCGACGATGAAGGCAGCGCGTCACAAAAAATATTATTTATGCAAAAAGTTACAGGAGACCGAGGTGTTAAAAGAAATAAAGAGAAAATAACTACATTTATAGCATTTAAAAGATAAAAAAGTTAACTGATTTTTACATTTTATATCAGCATAATATGGGGGGAAACTCAGAACTCTGACTTTAATCTCTGAACTCTGACTGTATTCAATTCTGAGTTTGAAGTAAGAATTCTGAAAAAAAAAAGTCAGAATTCTAAAACTAAAATCAGAGTTCTGAGATT